CATTAATTGTGACCTGGAATAAGCATATGGTTTATTCATTAGAGCTAAGAGATTAGGATGAGAGACTTAATATATTGTGATACATGAGAGATAATACTCATTATCAAGAGGACCTATCACCATGATTCATATATTTGGTTTCCTAATTGATTGATAATTGGATAAATGGACCAAGTGGGAGAATGTTGGCATATGCGTCATTTTGAAAACTGTTTTTGCAACAGTAACACGTTTGCAACAGCCACGTAAAAGGAAACAACTTTTCCGATTTTCACGTTGTTCTCTTGATCCTTTTACTTGCTACGGTTAACATATAATGTATGTGGTCCATTTTTCAACCCATTATCAAATAACTGCCGGATATGGTACCGTGATTCCCGCATGTTTTTCTCCAATGTTCAAGAGGCTCTACGATGGATTAGAGCTCTATAAAAATTGAACACGTATCTCATTTTGGGTCCCTGAGCCTACTCTCCTCTTCAGTATACTACACCATCACGTATAGAGAGCAAGGGTTCAGAAACCTGAAGCAACAACCGAGCAACAATGGCTGGAGGTTGGTCTTTTAATTTCCGCAATTATGAGTATGATCTGAACATGTTTATTTTGTTTGATTTTTGCCATGTTTAGATCTTAAGGATATTAGTTTTCATTTGGTATCAGAGCACGTTGTTTCCTCTGCCTTGTTTTGTATCGGGTTTTTTGGATATCTCTTTTTCAACCCCATAATTGTTTCTAAAACTGGAGACGGAGTAGAGGATGATTTTTCTGCCATTTCTGTAATTAAAATGGTGTTTTTCGATGTTCAAAACGTGGAGAAATGGTCGGTTTTCATTTCGGGTCCGCGGGTCATAAACGGGTAAAAATGACCCGTCCCAAGGTTGAAGATGACTGAAACGCAATGTGTTTTCGCGTTTTGTATGTTTTGTTTGCTATTGACAGACATCTGTTTTATATTTTAAAATGTATCATACTTATGAGAAAAAGCGCTTGGCTGGAGTGGTTTGTTCACTTGCATATAGCTGTCATGGCATGGGTTCGAATCTGAAGTCTTGCATGTTTTTTGATTTTCCTCTATTTTTATATGATGAGTCACGCATGAGTCACGCACATGTCATATGTTGAAGTCACTCATCCACGGTCAAATGATGCTGGAATTACGTGTTGCATGTTTCGTGATTGTTTTGATTCCCGTTTTCATTTCTTGCATGCTGGAACGATTTCGTAATTTCGTGTGGCATGCTTCGTACGTACGTGATCAAATGATTTGATTTCTTGCATGTTATTTTATAATTACGAGGTGTAATTATTTTTGTAATACATGTTATTCTTGGCTGCATTAAATATTGGAAATTAAGAATAATGATTATTGAATATTATATGCTTGTCCAATATTTGCTTATATTTATTTTATTTTATTTTGATATTAAAATAAAAATAAGATTTATTTTATTTTAATGTTTAGTGATATATATAATTTTAATAAGTTAGAGAATAGCCACAACATCTTTAATTGATTAAAATTATATATATATTTTTTAAAGATCACATTAAGAAAAACATTAATTGTAATTAATTATATGTGATGTGATGGAATATACCCACAGGAAATTTCTTACATTTGTATGATTGATTAGGATAAAATATTATATTATATTTCTTAATTTACCCACAGGAATTAAGAAAGGAAACATAATTTAATAGTTTTATCATAAGATTACATGAGTCTAATTGAATATGACTTTAGCTCACAGACAAGTTTTATGTCACTAGATTCGTTAAAAGAGACATGTTTGCATTGGTAAAACATGACATTTATTTTAGTCTCAAGTTATGATGATGAACATGTTTTTGACATTTGCAGTTTCTCAATCTATGAATATTTCTGATATCAAGTGTGGCATTCCCGAATTAAAGGGTGACAATTATAAGGTTTGGAAGGAGAGAGTTCTTCTTCATTTAGGCTGGATGGACATTGACTATGCTATTAGGAAACCAGCACCACCGGGTATTACTGAGACCAGCACTCCAGATGCAGTTGATCTTTATGAAAAATGGGAGAGGTCAAATCGTCTCTCTGTGACGTTCATAAAGACCAACATTTCTGCTGGAATTCGGGGTTCTGTTGACCATCATGACAATGTCAAGGATTTACTAAAGGCTATTGATGAACAATTTACCACATCTGATAAATCTCTTGCCAGCACCCTTATAATGCAGTTTTCATCCTTAAAGCTCACTGGGATTAAAGGAGTGCGTGATCATATCATGCGCATAAGGGATATTGTGGCTCAACTGAAAGCTTTAGAGGTTACCATGTCTGATTCTTTCCTAGTGCACTATATTTTGTGCACCTTGCCTCACCATTATGCCCCCTTTAAAATCTCTTACAACACACATAAGGATAAGTGGTCTATTAATGAATTGTTGACCATGTGTGTTCAAGAAGAGGAAAGGTTAATGATGGAAGAAGGAGAGCAGGTGCTCTTAACTGGTTCTTTTAAGAAAAAGAAGAATCAAGATAATAAGAAGGGAAAGATTCCAGCTCAACCAATTATTAAGAAAGAATCCAAGTGCTTCTTTTGTAAAAAGAAAGGACACATGAAGAAGGATTGTTTGAAGTTTAAGAATTGGCTGGAAAAGAAAGGTAATTTATTTGCTTTTGTTTGTTATGAATCTAATATGACTAGTACTAATCATAACACATGGTGGATTGATTCTGGATCTACAATCCATGTTTCTAATACCTTACAGGGTATGCAAAACCTAAGGAAACCGATGGGAAGTGAGCAATGCATCTATTCAGGAAGCAAGATGAGTTCACATGTGGAGGCCGTTGGGACATGCAATTTAGTTTTGAGCAGTGGTTTTATTTTAAATTTAGAAAAGACTTTTTATGTTCCTAGTTTTAGTAAAAACTTGATTTCTATTTCGCAACTTGCACCTTTGGGTTTTTCTTTTAAATTTATGGATTCTGGTTTTACTTTGTTGAATAAATCCAAAGTTATTGGTTTTGGTGAATTACGTGATGGTCTTTACTCTATTAATTTGCAAAATAATGACGCTGCTTATAATTCTATGCATGTTTCTTCTGGGTTAAAACGTTGTGTTATGAATGAGGATTCTTCTATGTTGTGGCACCGGAGATTAGGACATATCTCCATTGATAGAATTAAACGATTAGTAAATGATGGAGTACTTAGTACTTTAGATTTTGCTGATTTTGAGACTTGTGTGGATTGCATCAAGGGTAAGCAAACTAACAAGTCCAAAAAGGGTGCCAAGAGGAGTTCAAACATACTAGAAATCATTCATACAGATATTTGTTGTCCGGACATGGATGCAAATAGTCCAAGATACTTCATCACCTTTATTGATGATTACTCATGATATATGTACCTTTACTTACTTCGTTCTAAGGATGAAGCCTTGGATGCCTTTAAAGTTTTTAAGGCTGAAGTAGAGCTACAATGCGGAAAGCAAATTAAGATTGTGAGATCAGATAGAGGTGGAGAGTACTATGGTAAATACACAGAGAATGGACAAGCACCTGGTCGAGGTACGGGGAAAAAGGGATTATTTATATGTAGAGTTACATGAGAGAATTGGGTAGAGGAAGAGTCCCTTAGGATTATGATTAATTTTATAATTATTTATGTTTGAGGACTTGATGATCCCGTTAGATTTTAAATGTATTAAGGATTATAAATATATATCTAATTTGTAAGAATGATGATTAAGGATAGAGAATGAAATTATAGAAAAGTGCCTGTAAGTTAGGTTTTGGAAAAATTGGGTTATTTCTGTTTGAGGAATTGATGATCCCATTAGATTTTATATGTCTGAAGTAAGGATTTATAACCCACAAGAGAAGAAACTAGACCCGAGGACTATTAGTGGGTATTTCATTGGATATGCTGAAAAGTCCAAAGGGTATAGATTCTATTGCCCATCTCATAGCACTAGAATTGTGGAATCAAGAAATGCAAAGTTTCTTGAAAATGACTTGATTAGTGGGAGTGATTTAATTCAAGATATTAGTTTTGAAAAGAATCACTATGAAGTTCAACCCTCTCAATCAAATGATAGACTGGTAGTCAATCACGCTCCTTCAGTTCAAAGATGT